TTTTCTAAGATTCCTATACCATGGCGGTCTCTATATTTAGAGTAATAATAATCCATATTATAGGAGTCAGGCTCCTGAGAATCAGCTAAGGTTGGCATTTTGAATTTAGAAGAGGTGTGGCAAATAAAAGAGATATAACAAATAAAAGAGGTGTGACAAATAAAGGGGGTATGACAAATAAGGGGCATGACAAATAAAGGTTTGATAAATAATAGAGTGTGACAGATAAGGTGTCACACAGTATAACGATCAGCGGATCGACAGGATTGTCAGAAGCTAAAATTTGTGTAAAATTAATTAAAACCAAAATGGTAAAAAGGCTTTTGTATAAAAATAGATGAAACAAGATTGGAATTGTGTAAATTGATTAATAATATGGATTAGTAATTGGGATCTGCAAGTTTGGGCGCCCTAGGAGGCATGGGGCACGAGGCATGCCTTTTGGACATGCCCTTGGGCATGCCTGAAGGCATGCCCTTAGGCCAAAAGGCATGACTCTATCATGTGATAATCAATATTAAATCATGTGATAATGCAATACGCTGATTGGCTATTAACAAACATTAAGATAAATAAACTAAGAGTGCATAAACGAATCTAAAATGCTAATTTATAAGTAAACCCAGTTTTTTAATTTATGCTGTTACAATTCTATTTAACACATTTATTATTCTACCGGGTATTGATAAATTTCTGGACAGGCCTTTTTTATCTCCGCTAAAATTAAAATTATTTTATTATCAAATTTAAATTATTTTTAAAAAATACAATAAAAAAATTATTTTCATCACTCATATATCGTTAGCCCTTATATCATAATTATTACATAATATATATTATTACTATTGTAACTAGTGATGTGCCGTTTATATGATAGCCCAATTTTTTCGCATACAGTACGTACAGTACATACAGTAATATATAGTATATAATTAGAAATAGAACTGCATTATTACTACGGCAAAATCTTTAATACCAGAAACAGAGTGATGAATATCACGAAGTGTATAGCTTATTCGAGAAAGAAATTATGTGTGTACCCAAAATCTAATACTCGATTGGTCGGCGTGATCATAGTTGTCACATCTTGTATATTTTTCACCCACTATTAAAATCGCAACCCATCTCCGTCAAAGACACGAATCTGCATTGCTAAACGATCATCCACTGTTAAAATCTCTGCTAAGTCATGAATTTACACTACAAAATCTAGAATCCACCCATTGCTAAAATCTTTAACTTATCATTACTCGAATCGTAAACACTTATTGACTTACTTATTTAAATTACTAATTTAATTACCGTTAAAATTAACCCATTAATATTAAAAGCACTAACCGATCACTGTTGAAATAATAAACTCACTCGCTGTTCAAATCACTCACCCATTTTTAAAATCACCAACGCCCATTGTTAAAATCATTATTCTACCCACCATTAAAATCGTTAATCACCCATAGTTGCAATCACTAACTTACCTATTCATTTTTTAAATTATGACCTTACCCATCATTGAAATCATAAAATATAGAAAACAGACAAATAAATCTTCACAGTGTCAAATATTAGTATAGATTGTTCGTTATTCGCAAAAAATGCTCATTGACTAAGCTATGCAGATACATGTTAAAGTTTTGTACCCAACACTAACCATGCTATGCAGATACATGTTAAAGTTTTGTACCCAACACTAACCATTTATCAGCCAATCCTATCACCAAGCTTTATCAATGAGATGACTGTTAATAAAATAATTCATGAAATTGATTTATACTATAATTATACTAAATTTTAAAGCAATGACTGAAAATTTTCTTTTTATTATTTTCTTTATATATATTGTAATTAAACATATTTACTAATCCAAATAAAGCTTCCCGTTCCTGGTTTTAGCGCGACTACGTCGCGCAGCTAATTAATTAACATAAACCAGACTACATATAAAATGATCGGCAAAAATTCTCACGTACAGTACTGTACGCGGCACATCACTAAGCATTAGTATACGATAATCGCACTGAAAGAAATAAATAAACGTTACGCAATGCAATACATACATATATTCAATAAATTTTGATAATTTAGTGTGTAACATTCTCTCTTATTGTGTCAAAATGTCATTTGCGAAACGACCAGGAAAAATCGACAATCTTCTTGATGTTACTAAAATATCCAGTGAAGTTAGCCAATTATATCTAGAAGATAAGTCTCCAGACTTTCTTGATGAACTTATTAAAGAAATGTATAAACTGTATAATGAAGAAGACTTGAAAGGTAAAAGTGAAAATTCAATTCTTGACACCTTAGAACAATTTCTAGTAAAAAAAAAGCAAAATCCGAATAATATTATCAAATACTACTTAAATAATCATTTCGATCCTATGGCTCAATTCATTCGTGCATTTTGTTATGAGCATGGCAGATGGGTTGAAAAGGATGAACATAAAGCATTTATTTATTATCAAAAATCTGCAGAGATGGGTAATTCTAATGGAGTATATAAAGTTGGATGTTGTTATCGACGTGGAATTGGTGTTGAAAAGGATATCGGTAAGGCAGTTATTTATTATCAAAAATCTGCAGAGATGGGGAATGCTACTGCGATATGTAATGTTGGATATTTTTATCAAAAGGGAATTGGAGTTGAAAAAGATGATCATAAAGCATTTATTTATTATCAAAAATCTGCAGAGATGGGAGACGTTACTGCGATATTTAATGTTGGAATTTGTTATTCTAAAGGAATTGGGATGAACATAAGGCATTCATTTATTATCAAAAATCTGCAGAGTTGGGTGACGCTACTGCGATATATAGTGTTGGATATTGTTATAAATATGGAGCTGGAGTTAAAAAGGATGAAAAAAAGGGCTTTGAATATTATTTAAAAAGTGCTGAATATGGACATTGTTGTGGAATGCATGGTGTTGGTGATTGTTATCGGAAAGGGATAGGAGTAGAAAAGAATAAAGATTTGGCATTTGAATGGTATTTAAAATCAGCTATTACTCAACATAATTGTAGTGTTAATAACTATTTCCGATGGATAGAATACGATAATTTTAGAAACATTGAAGAAGTAGGTAGAGGTGGATTTTCTGTAGTGTATAAAACATCACATAATTTTACGTATGAAGAAGCTGCAATCAAGATAATAAAAGATTCGCATAAAAACAATCAACTTTTTTTAAACGAGGTATTGTTTTTTTTTTTTTTTGTGTTTAAAGGCCGGGTACTATGGCCGATTTTTTATTGTGAGTCAGCATAATATTTGTTACATGAGCGAGGATACAACTAGCCACACGTGCACTTTTGGTGCCTAATTTAAGTAGTCCGCCCAAAGGTTCTACACTAGCTGCCATACCTACAACCCAACTACGGAAGTTGCCTATTTAAACCCTCTGACTTACGATCCTCCAAACGAGGTATTGTTTTTTTTCACACATAAATTTATTTCATTGTTTATAAATTAATTGAATATAATTTGTCTATTTTTAGTTAAAGGCGTATCATGAGTTTGGAAATTATTTTGGCATATCAATGGATAAAAATAGCGGAGATTTTATTTTAGTGACAAGTTACGCAAAATTTGGATCATTACGTGAAAATCTTAAAGATATATTTAAGTCGGAGTGGAAAATTAAATTAAAAATATTATATAGTTATTGTATAGGGTTTCAAAAATATGCACGTGGGTATCAAACGGTAGCAGGTGATTGGCCGCGCAGCAGCCAATCACATGTTGCCATTTGATACCCACGTGCATATTTTTAATCCTATACAATAACGGTATTATCGTATAGTAGTTATTGATAACTATACTTCTATATCATATTCGTGATTACGTTATCAAATTAAATTACGCGAGTATATAATATTTTTTCAATTAAAATTTTTCACGTAGATTATTTTAAAGACCGAAAAAAAAGATGATAAAACAGTGATAACGTAAACTATACAAATATGAAAATTTTTAGTATAGTCATCAATAACATGGCTATACGATAATAAGTGATATCGTTATAACCTATCATATATTCATTTAAAGGGATTTATGCATCGAGATTTACATTCGGGTAATATTTTATTAAAGGAACAATATGAAGCTTATATTACCGATTTAGGATTATCAATATCGTTTGATGAAAAACAAGATGGTCAGATTCATGGAGTTTTGCCATATTTAGCGCCTGAGGTCTTGAAAGGTGAACGATTCACTCAAGCAGCTGATATTTACAGTTTTGGCATTATTATGATAGAAATATCAACTGGTCAAAGGCCTTTCGATGGTTACAATTTTGGTCAAGAATTAGCAATAAAGATTTGTAATGGTTTGCGGCCTGAATTTAATATAGGTGCTCCAAAATGTTATGTTGAATTAGCCAAACTATGTATTGGTTCTGATATGAAAAAAAGACCTACGGCCGTTGAAATTCTTAAAAAACTTGAAAAATGGAAAAAAGCTATCAATAATAATAAAGGTGATAATTTTGATGATAAGGATAATTTCGTTAAAGTGGATAATTTTGGCGAAGGGAATTATTTTGATGAAATGATCAAACAGCACTTTTTAAAAATTATCAATAGTGAAGATGATAATTTTGATAAGAAGGATAATTTCGATAAAAAGGATAATTTTGATGAAGAGGAGATCAAACAGCAATTTTTAGAAGCTGATAAATTAATTAAAGAATTACCAATTATCATGCAAAAACATGAAAATAGTGTATATATTTCTAAACTTATTGATACAAGAGAAATAGTTGATAGCAATTTATGTTTTCAAGATTTTTGTTGAATAACAAGGTCAAAGAATTATATTGTATTTTGAGAATATTAATTTATTTTAAAAAGCTTTTTAAATTAGTTGATAGTTATTAGGCCACTTAATGTTAATTATCCGGCAAACCCATATGATCATGGCAAACTTTTTGCACGTTATTTTTTAGACGTTTATAACGTAACATCAACTAATTAAATTTTGCCCAATAAAATTTGCCATTTATGCATTACAAATAATAATATTTAAAATATTATATTATAATTTTTACATTATTTATTAAATTATTAAAACTTAAAGATACAATTATAAAAAGTATTTCCAGTAAGGAATTTTTTATAAATTCTTTATTTTTTTTCTTTTTGACTCCTTTCAACCACTTGCTTTTGCAATTTATTTTTCAGAATATTTTGATCATGTTTAGACAACACAGCAAAAGAATCATTTAGTGAGGACACGTCAAGATCATCAAAAGCATTTGCCAATGATGCTTGTGATTTGGTTCAATTGAAACTTGCAGGAACAAACCCACAATCTGATAGGGCTTCAGGGTGACATTGACTTCAGGGGCAATGTTGGCTTTGGAGGTAACATTTGTTTTGGGGTGACATTGGCTTTGGGGCAACATTTTTCTTGGGGTAACATTTTTCTTGAGGTGACATTGGCTTCGGGGTATCATCTAAAAGATACAAAAAAAAATTAATTAGTTAAATATTTTAATTAAACCCTAAAATTGTATAAAATTTGCCTTTCAATGTTTCATCTGAAACATGCATTAGCACATTAAAAAATCTATTAATATCCACGTTGCATTACTAATTTTGGTTATTTGTACACAGCAAAACCCTTTGGGATTTGTGTTTTGTGATTAATATTACGATAGAATCTAAATATCCGAGTTCTTTCAGTAGTTGTACCCAGTTTTCTACCTGAATAATTTGAAATATCACAAGTGCCAATTTGGATACCTATATTTTGCATATAGTACAAAAGTAACTTCTTTATGCTTGTTCTCCAAATGCACATCCATAATACTATTGTCTATTAAATGCAACTTAAAGAAGTTAGTAAATTTAAAAAATAGAAAAATAAAAAACCAAGCATAATATAATACTTTACCTGAATTTATACTAAAAGGCTTTAAATAAAAATTTGTTACTGTTGTTGCTAGGCATTTACTAAAATAAAGTTCATAATCATTAATTATATCTTTAATATTTGGTAAGCTAATTATTTTCACTTGTGCATCATAATCTTTAAGCCCTTGTTGGTTAGTTTTGAAATGATACAATTTAACATCAATTCCTATATCAGATCTTTTTGATGAAATTGTTAATTTCAAGAGTTTTATATTCACCTTCTTGTAAAGCTAATAAAGTTGAATTAAAAAAAAAGATCCACTATAACAATTCTTCAAAACTATTGCATTGTATTATAGGGTGGTCAAGAATCTGTTCAACCTTATTTATTATTAACCCATCAACCTGATTTTTCACCAAAGCCTTTTGCAAAAAGATTTTTCAGTTTTCTATTAATGATTTAATTTAAATCAAAGTACACCTTCAGATTTAGTATATCAACTAGTTTCTTCATAATGGAGTACCAGTTAAGTTAATGCCAAATTGCCACAGGCAACTTCTTACTGAACTAGCATGATATTCACTACCATCACGTTGCTTTATCACACATATAAACTTAGACAATTGGTTTTCTAGGATCTTCTTAAAATTCATTTCAATTTTATTTTCAAATCCGATATCAGAACAGAATTCTTCTAATAGATTTATTCACATATATATAGCCACATAAGTTGCTTTTACTTTTGTATTATCTTGGATTGTACCAAGTTCCTTTGCTGACAGTTCTGTATACTTAACCCTCTAAAAAAATATGTTAGAGAGCTCTTTTATAAGATAATACAACCTGAAGAAGTCAAGATGAAAAATTATCTTGGACTTATTAACTTTTGCTATAGTAGATTCAGTTTTTAGTATTTTAAAAAAAAACTTTAACTATTTTTTTTCACTTTATAGAAGAGCCTTATAGTTCTCTAGTAGAATATTATAACAAACAGTCTTTAAACACTAAAATTCCAACGGCCAACCTTCAAATTAGCAACCTTCAAATTTTAGACTTTTCAAATTAGTAACCTCCAAATTTAGAGATCACAGCCTTAAACTTGTAACTTCAACTCCCAAAGGTAATATTGGGCAAAAAAAACAAGAAACTCAAATGAATATATTTTAAAAATTTAATAGCTTAAAAAAATTTTTTTGCTTTTTCACTTTAAAAGAGAAGTAATTTTTTACTGATCTACCATCTTTTTTTTAGATTTAAATTTATATTTATGGAGGGATGATTGAGACCATGATCATAAATTACCAAATAATATTATTATTTGGCAAATTGTTATACAATAGCCATTTGACTCAACTAGACAAATGATTGTCTGACACGTGCTACTTCATAGCATATGCTAGCTAATCATTACCTGGTTAAGCCAAATATCTATTATACAATAATTTTTGCCTAATAATATATAAGTATTATCAAAATATTTATTTATTTTATGGTAAATAGTATATAAGTCTATTAATATAAGCTTATTCAATAATTTTTCCTAATATTGTTCACTTATTTTATCAATTTTATATTATAAATAAACTTGCTTACTTAAACGTTAAAAATTTTTAACTTTGAAAATTTCAGTAAATCAAACCTTATTTAAAAATATTTTTAATTTGGTAGATAATAAAAGGTCTATATTCAAAACAATTTTTAACTGTTCTTTCAAATTCTGAAACAATTAAAAATTTATCAAAATTTTTTTGGGTTAGTTCTATAAATTATTTAGCTATCTGGAAGTTATATTGCTGTCTTTGAAGAGTTAAATAATTTACAGAATGAAAAAGATTTTAAGTAATGAGCAAAATTTTAAATTGTCTCAGAATTTATAAGAACAGCTGTAAAAAATTGATTTTCTAAAAATTTTTAGCCAAGTTCATGAAAATAGCTATAAACAAGATCATTAATTTTTTTGCATCGTGACTATATTGTTAGCTTTTGGAGTATAAATAGTCTGAACTGTTCATATTCTAACTGCAACACTAATACTATACAATTATGAGATAATTAAGATTTCTCATTATATATGTATGTATATACATATTCGTATACTATTTATATCTACATTTCAATTGAACAAGGATGAATAAAAATTATAATTTTTAGTAACTAAAAATTGCTTTGTTGTTTTAAATTTTTTTATATTGACTATGGCCTAAAATTAACTTAGTGCGGGATAAATAATTACGTGGTTAAATAATTAAAAAAAAATTTAATTCTTTATTCCTTCATAGTAAAATTGTTCTCTCATATAATCACTCAAAAATAATAGTTTAATTTACTTTACAAAATCTGATAATTTCAAATATGCAATTATTTGCAAATAATAAGCAACTAGCTTTCAAACTCAGGCATTGCTCCAGGGTCCAGTTTTAATTTTTTTAATTTTTAAATTTTTAAATATTATATTTTTTTAATATAGTTTTATTTATATTTGTTTTTAAGTTTTAATATTAGTTTTTTAGTTTTTTAGCTCTTAGACCAGAAGTTGCTCTAGGGTTTGTTTTAATTTTTCTAGTTTTTAAGTTTTTAATTATTAAAAGTTTTTAGATTTTGTAATATATGATTTTAATATATAGTATTATTTATTTGTTTTTAAGTTTTAAATAATAGTTTATTAGTTTATTAACTCTCAAACCTGGATATTGTTTTGGACTCAGTTTTAATTTTTAGTTTTGAAATTTATTAATTTTAAGTTTAAGCAATATTTTAGTAGAATAGTTAAATTTTTATATTTTATAAAATTTAATTATAAATTTTCTAGATAATATTTTGGGTTTAGTTTTAATTTTATAATTTTAAATTTATATTAAAATAATAGTCTTAAAGTTTTAATTTGTAGTATTTTTTTTGTAATTCAGCTATTACACCCTTATTTAATTGAGATTTAATCATTTAGTGAATTTTTATAAATTTATATTTATGACTATAGTAGTTTAACCAAAATAAAGGCTTGTTAAAACTATGCCAATATATATATACTAATGCAATCTGCCTCAGTAGTACTTAGCCTCCTTTTGGGACCCAGATTACAATGGACTTTTTTTTTATCAGTCAATGGCTAGCAGCTGCTCGCTTATTAAAAAGCAAAATAACAAAAAGAAAACAAACATTAAAACAAAAAGAAAATTCTGAGATATAGAGAAATATGATAAAAAACAAATATAAAGAAAGAAAAAAAAGGATATAGAAGTAGTGAGAAAAAACAAACAAAATTTGTATTCTATTACCACAATTATAAGCCTGTATTAGACTTGTAAAAATTATATACTACGATAAACTAGTCTCTACTCTGAGTCTAACTAATTAGTATACCTAAGTAAAATCTTATAAGAAAAAACTTTATCGATTTGAATCCAGAATACTTCTTTTCTACTATATGAAATTAAACAGAAGGCTTCTTCATGGTCAACCAGTCATCATTGGAAGCTACTTTCTTGAATTCGTTATATAAAATCTTCATTCCTAAAAGATAATATCCAAATTGTAGAGAGGTTAAAAAGATGTCTCAGAGTATTATTTGTTCAGATTGTTGGGTATTCAAGATACATATATTCACATATTTGTTATCACTGATTGATTCATCTGATTTGGAAAATAAACAATACTAACTAATTTGGTACATGTGATATAATCTTTTGGAGAAGTAAACTAAGATGCCCACTTTTTACAAACATTTTCTTGCAAAAAAGTAGTAGGCTAACAGATATATATGAGGTTCGTCTTGTAAGTTTTATAGTTATATAGTCCAGTTTCTAAGCTTCTATTAAACTGATGAGAGCCTAGCTATTTCTTGTTCTCAGAATAAACCTTTTAGTTTAGATACCAAATATCTTGAAAAGTCTGCCAGAAGAAAAAAACTTGACCTCAAGAAAAATTATCAAAAAATACCTGCTTCTCAGTATATCACATTTAACTTAGACTTTGTCAACAACAGCCTACTTAATGTAGAACCAAGAGTAGCATCTATTTAGTTACTTTTTTATATATTTTTGCTATAGTCTGGTTTTAGTATTGTTGACCAAAAGATTGTCAAAAAGAGTTGTATCAATTTTTTGTTTAATTTGTAGTATTTGAAATATAATTTATATTTATTAAAAGCATTTATTAATATAAAAATTAATTATAAATGCTTAAGATATATACTATTGATAAATATTTTATATATAATTTATTTTTAAATTATAATATAATTAAATATATTCTAAATCTACTTTAAATCTATTTTAATCCTATACTAAATTTAACCTTAAACCTAAATCTAAACTCTAACCTAATCTTAAACTGGACTTTAATTTTATATATTATATAAATCTACTCTAAATCTATTCTAAATCTACTCTAAACTTATATTAAATCTAATTTTAAACCTATATTTTAACTCTAACCCTAATCCTAAATTAAACTTTAATTTTATTTACTCTAAACCTATCCTAAACCTACTTTAAATATATTCTAAACTTATACTAAATCTAACTCTAACCCTAAATCTAAACTCTAATACTAATCCTAAGCTGAACTTTAATTTTATTAGATTAAAATGTTAAAATTAATCAAAATTAAGTATATTTTTTAATATATTAATAGAAATTTATAATTTCTACCAGGGGATATTGATATCTGGAGTACTATATAACTCAAAAATCTAAATAAGAAACAGAGTTAGGTGTTCTAAGTAAAAATATTCAGAACCTCCAAAAATCTTGTATAATTTAAATTTGGTCTACTATATCTACCTATTTTAGCGTAAAACTGTACTCTAACCTAAATTTTAATAAAAACTATTATATCTCAAAAATGTGACTAAGAAACAGAGTCAGGTGTACTAAGTAAAAATATTCAAAACTCTCTAAAACCTTGTGTAATTTAAATTTGGACTATTAATTTGACTCTATTTTGGTATTAAACTGTACTCTAACCCTAAATTTTAGCAAAAAAACTATTTTTTATAATAAAATTAGGGTGAATATCAATATCTTCTGGTGCAAAAAACTATACACTAATCTTTTCAAAAAAACATATACAACTCTTTCTGCTGATCATCAAAACACAAAATTTCTAAAAATAAAAATTAACAAAAAAACTTAAAAATAAACAAGAGTCACTAAGAAACTAATCTTAGGCTTCTAAGTAAAAAGGAAGAGGACAACAAGAAATATTTAGTCTCTTAAGAGATTTGAGTAAAAAAACAGAAGCAGCAAAGAAATAGAAGAAGTCATAAAAAATCGTTGATATTTTTTTGACTTTACAAACTTTGAAAAATCAGCCTTGACCCTAAATTACAGATCTGTTTTGGTGATACAAGAATCGCAACATGTAATAGAAAATAAACAAAGTAAACATGACAAAAACCATGTAATGAAAGTAAACAAAAATGGCAAACAACCATAGCAAACAACAACAACAAACAACAGTAATTAGAAAACAACAAGTCATATGAAGCAAAACAATAACAGAAAGTTCTGAAAAAACCTGTCATAGCATAATTAATAAAGATAAAAACAAAAGAAATATATAAAGATATAGAGATATATCAACAAGAATATATTAACTCTGATATATCAGAAGCTATGAAAGAGGTAATAGCAGATATCCAGAGCTTAAAATAGCAATATCTAACAAATTAATAAACACAGAAATAGAAAAAATAATAGCAGAATATGTTGGGCAAAGGCTCATTCTGAAGGAAATAACCGATAAAAGAATAGCTTTATGAAGAATTATGGTACTATAATATAAGAAAATCAAAATATACAGAACTTGTACTAATAGAAAGAAAACATGAGATTTTTCTCAAAACAATTTAAGATAGAAAATACTCTTGTCCATTGTATTATAATAAAAGAAATAGTTGGTTAAATAGTAGAATCAAGAATAGCCAATAGAGTCAGAAGATTATTAATAAAAAGGAAAAAACAGCATGCTGAATTAAAGGTGAAATTAGAAGCAGATTAGAGCAAGAAACTCCAAGAACAAAAAAAAAGCTGACAAAAACAGCTCAACAAAACAATCCTGAATTTTACAATATATCAATTCAAAGAATTTATCAAGACTATAGCAACAAACCAACAAGAAACAAGAAGAGAAATAAAAGAAAAGAAAAAGATGCAAGTTTAACAAGAAAAAAAACAAGCTATTAAAATAAAAGTGAAGTTGGATATAGGTTAGAGCAAGAGACTCCAAGAACAAAGGAAAATTCGACAAAGGCAGAAGAATGATTCAGATATAAGAATTCTATTAATATATTTTAGAGTATCTGTCAAACTTGCTCTAGCACGCCAGAAAAAAAAAGAAGAAAAATTAGAAAAAAAAAGCAAAATAAAAACAAAAGACAAGACATTCCAGGTCTTACAGAAGCTAAAGCATTAAACAGGATTCAAGAGGAATCAAAACCAAAAATTATATTTGCAACTCCAGAAAATTGGTTGATAGAATTAATATATCAAATCAGCATTAAAAATAACTCATACAAAAAAATGTGAAAAAAGATAGAAAAAGATCTTTTAGCAAAATGGATATATGAATGAAAGTCCCTATGTACCAGATGCAGTGCAAATATCTCATTTTAGCATAGGTTTGAACAATAGCCACATCCATTGCAGGATCGGCATCAGTAATAATTACTGGTGAACAAAGCCCAAGTGTTTGTTGTATAACCCTTAAACTCCACGTATATGATTCAAGAGATTCATCCTCAAGGAATGCTTGTGCAATAGGCTGTGTATTAAAGTTATTGTCAACCACTATAAAAATTAAAAGTGGAAGACCATATATATTGGTCTTGGCAGTATTATCATGTGCAACAACTGAGCTGTATCAGATATATAACTCAACTTGTTGTGACTCTATCTATAATAGATGTGAAAGAGCTTGAGACACTGGATCTAGTTGATACTCCACAACCCATTCTGGGTTATCAGCCTTCTTTTCTAACAAAAAATTAAAAACATTGAATGCATCATTTTTTGTAGGCTCTTTTTTATGCCGAATTATATGAATTGTATTATATAGATCTTGCTTGATGACATAACATTGATATTTGCTTAAAAGCATCCGGTATTGTTTTGTTGCATTAAGGCTGCCTTCAAGTATTCAAAAATGAATATCTTCTAACATTTCCTCACTTAGCTTTCGAAATTGAGTTAAAAAATATGCATTTTGCGGGTCTGGACTGTGCTCGCTATATTCATCGATGAATGTTGTTACCTCAAATTTTATTACCTTTTTTGGCAATATTAATATACCACATACAACCAACTTTGCATGAAGGTTTATTTCGCTGTTGATCAAGCCCTGCAAATTTATTTGGTTTATATGTCTCTGCATGTTTGCATAAAAAAGTTCTTTTTTTAGCATCCTCTAATTCTTCACTTTTTTTTGAGCATCTCTTTCTATATCCAAACCTTTTTTGCTTGCAATAATAATTAAGGAATATTATAACTTCTTGCCATAATACAAATCGTTTACCAACATAAAGGTTATCCGTCTTATCTTTATCATTCTCTAGCCAATTATCATTACTAGTCAATTCATTTGTATTAGAATAATCTTTAACTGATTCATTCTCATAATAATTCTCAACTAATTCATCCTTATTAAAATAGTTTTCTGCTAGTTCGTTTAGATAATTATCCTTTATGAAGTTATTCCTACCTAAATAACTTTCTGTAAATTCACTTCTGTTAAAGTTATCCTTATCTAATTTTTCTACAAATTTATCTTCACTTAAAAAATCAGTTACTGATTCATTGTCGCTATCGATTTCAATTTGATCAAACATATTATTATGCTGTCAGTTGAATAAAATAAATTTTTTGTAATAAAAACTTTATTTTTACTAAATAATAGTAGTATTTAAATCAGTATTATCTACTTATAAGCGAACATAAAGGTTTAGAAGCAAGTGCAAATGCTACAAAGAAACTTTAAGCATAAAAAAAGTTAACAACAAATATTTTTTTTTAAACACAAGTAAAAGTTTAAAGGCAAATGCAAACACTATAAAAAAAATTTGGATATATTAAAAGCTAACAACAAACAGTTCGATTTTTTTTACAGCTTTTGTAAAAAGTAAAAATCACATAATTATCTATCACATGTGTATATAAATACACTAATTATTACATATTACATATTAAGTATATATACAAGCCACTGAAAATCGACGTCATCATACAGAAAATAAAAATCACGTGAGGTGCACTGTATAAATTTTTTCTTTTTTTAAAATTAAAAGAATTTATTCATCATATGGGTGATATTGTCACATTAATAAGATTATAAAATCAAGTATAACATAAAATCAAAACAATATTTTTTTATATAATAAGGTTAGAGATAAATATGGTTAGAGTTGAAGCAAAACCAGATTCTATAGTAAAATTTTGCAAGAAATTTTTTTATTAAAACCTAGAATGCAAAATTTTAAATTATAAATAATTTTTAGTAAAATGTTTGTTTTAAATTTTTCTAAATATATAATATAATATTTAATTTTGAGATTTGATTAGTTGATCATAAGAGTAATATATAAAATATATTGTATTAGAGTGATAAATAAATATACTCTTTAAAATTATATATATATTTTATAAAATTTTAATATAACTAGTTATTATCTTATAGTTTATTATCTATAAATATACTTCAGGTCTTAATTTGAAATTTATCTGATAATAATATCAAGTTTGTTATATTTTTTGTTAATTATATTGTAACTAAACTTCCTATTATAAAATATAGACAATATGAATCTTTTAATAAGAAAAAATCAAAATTTTATTTTTTAAAAAAATTTAA